TTTTTCTTTTCCTTCTGCTGGGTAATTGGATTTCTTTGAAATCTCTGTAAGGCTGTTTTCATTATTGCATTCACCTTGGATTTCTCATAAATCCTGTGTAAGTCAACTTAGGAATTATTTTAGGTAAAGTGACTTTTATATTAAATATAATTACTTATGAATTTGTGGACTTGATTCAAATTCAAATAGGTCATATATTTTCAGGATAGACAAATTTCCACCTATGTTAATGTGGTGCCTTCATTTTAAGTATAACATTGGTACAGCACTTATATAAACAAAGCAACAAAATATAGCTTTATGCTTTCACGTGCTTGATTGATATTTTTCATTTTATCCTTAGGGTGCAAGTCCCAGCACTCTTAAGGAGTTTTTGTGAGTGCTAGAAGGTCAGTAATTTGAATTATGGCCTGAATAAACACTGTTTGGTTCACTTGGTTTCAAAATCCCTTTATTTCCCCTGTTGTAATAAGTAACTTTAAAAGTACAAGTAAATTTTCATTAAGGTGGATCTTTAATTTTGGATAACCCCTTTTCAGATCAGAAATTAACATTCAGACTGAAATCTCAAAATATGTTTTATCATTTGTATCTATAACCTAAAACATGCTCTTAAAGACTTCTAGATTTATTTTGCTGAAATTTTGTCTTAATGTTGGAAGCCTACATGCATACTCTAATTTTAAAATGGGAAATATTTGACACAAGGGTGAATACTTCCCCTTCCCTTATCCATGACAGACATTGCTAATTGACTGTGGCATACTTTCCTGCCAAGACTTGGTGAATCCTTATCTGTGCCACAGAGTCCTTATAAACGCTGTTCCAGAAAGCTACTACTATTAGTTCAGAATTGGCAAATGTGAATCCTGATTGCCATCACCACTACAATTGGTTTGACTGTGGTAGTAGCTGTGAGTTCTTTGGATTCTTCGGGGTATCAGAATTTGAGGGAAAGCTATGTAACATTTTTTTAATGAAACAAAAATAGAGTACATTACAGTATACTTCCAGATTGAATTGATCTATAATACCTTTACTAATATCTTTTTAACATTTATTAAGTAGTAATAGTAAGCTAATAACTACTGCTTGCTGACCGCCAAATATTGACCACCTGCTATGTGCCTAGCACTATGTTAGATGCTTCACATCATTATCTCGTTCAATCCTTGTAATGATTTGCAAGGTAGGTATTATTATCCCTATTTTATAGATGAAAATTGGAGCCTAGAGATTTTAACATGTCCAGGGGCCTGCCATTTGTCAGTGGCCGCAGCAGGATTAAGCTCAGGCTCATCTGATTCTTAAACTTCTGGACTTTTTACCATATTGGTCTACTTCTCAGTGTATATGGTGGTTTATGATTGTTTTCATAATAATGCTATATAGGTATTTGCTGATCAAGTCTTTGTAGAAGTATCCTAGTCAACTGTGTATAGGTGTTTGCTTGTCAAGACTTAGATATCTCTCTAGACTCGTCAAATAATTAACAAACTGCTAATGTAGTTACATCTTATAATTCTCTGTGATACTACAAATACATAATGATGATATAGTCAAAGCTTCTTTGATATGTAGGTACTGAGTACGGACATACTCAGTAAATTTTGACTGATTTAACATTGGGCCTTCTTTAGGATTAATAGGAAAATAAAAGAGAATTTCTCCCTTAATTTCTTTGGATTTTTTAAAACAATTTTCTGCCCTAGGTAGGTAGAGGTAATTTTGGTGAAAGAAGAAAAAGACACTCTGCTCTGTTTTGGGTATCACCATACCACCATTATAGTCCCCCAGAATAAAACTGTGATACTATAGATTTGTAAATTATTTTTGTGTCCTCAACTGTAAAATGGGGATAATAATAGCATCCGTGTCATAGGATTTGGGGGAGATTTAAATTAGCTAGTGCACATTAGCTCTAGGAGTTCATCTTGATTTCGTTAGTTTCCCTAGGCCTACCATTTCCCTACGTCAACAAGTCCTATTGACTACCTCTGAAAATAATCTGAATGCGATCACTTCTCTTTATTTCTGCTACTAACACCCCAGTCCAAGCAGCCTCTATTATTCCTGGTCTACCGCAGTAGTTTCTTTACTAGTCTCACTGCTTCCATTCTTGCTGGAATAGCATAGCAGCTAGAATGATCTTTTAAAATATAAATCAAATTTTGTTGTTTCCCCACTTAAAATTCTCCTATGGCTTCCTATTGTACTTAATATAAAATTTAAATCCTTTACTATGGCTTATAAATTTGATCTGGCCCCTACTTCCTTTGCCAGCCCCTCCTTGCTCTATATGCTTTTTGTTACATTGGCTTTCTTTCTGTTTTTGAATACATCAAGCTGCTTCTCCTTTGCTCCATCCTGTTCTTTCTCATCTGAAGTGCTTTGCCTCCCTGTGTCTTAAACTTTTCCAGCCATACAGGCTAACCTTGAAGTCTCTTTCCTGCCTCTTTTTTCCCCTCCATTTCCTGTATCAAGCTATATGAGCAAATCCTGTTGGTTTTACCTTTAAATATATTTAGAATCTGTTTCCTTTTCACCACCTCTGCAGCCAGTGATCCTCTCTTCTTGGTTTAAACCAGGAATGTCCTTATTTGTCTTCCTGTTTCTACTCCCTCTTCCCTACCGTACTTTTCATCTAGCAGATAGAGTAATAATTCTTTTTGAAAAATATTTTTGAGAACTGTTTTAGATTTACAGAAAAATTGAGAGGATAGTACAGAGAGTTCTCATATACACTGCACTCAGTTTCTACTACTCTTAACATTTTATATTAGCATGGTACATTAGTTATCATTAATGAACTAGTATTGATGCATTAAGATTAACTAAAGTCCATGGTTCACTCAGATTTCTTTACCTATTGTCTTTTTTTTCTTCCAGGATACCACGGTACATTTACTTGTCATGTCTTCTTAGGTTCCTCTTGGCTGTGAAAGTTTCTCAGACTTCTCTTGTTTGGCAGTCTTGAAGAATATTGGTCAAATATTTTGTAGGATGCCCCACGACTGGAATTTGTCTGATGTTTTTCTCATGATTAGACTAGGGTTTTGGGTTTTCGGAAGGGAGACTATAGAGATAAAGTGTCATTTTCATCATAATCTACCAAGGGTATATAGTATCAACAGGAGCTTACATCCTCTAGTCCCCCATGACTTCCTTGATTCTATGTCCTGCTACTTTCTCTGTCATAAATTCTAATCCTGTTCATTAGGTCCTTGGAGTTTATTGACTATACCAAGCTTGCTTATGCCTCAGGGCCATTTTATTTGCTGCTTTCTGTGCCATTGGATGCACTTCCTCAAGGTGGCAACATTGTTCACACTCCTTCTAGTTTCTGCTCAAATATTACCTTATCAGAGAGATTTTATTGAACACTTTATAAAAAGTAACACAGTGCTCCCAGTATTCTTTCTTTCCCACCCTGCTTTATTGTCTCTTCCATTTTCTACGTGACATATATTTACTTTTCTAATTTGTTTATTGTTTCCCTCCCTACTTGTTAGAATTTAGCTTCATGAAAGTATGAGCTTTGTCTGTTTTGTTCATTCCACTATCCCCAGCATCTAGAACCCCATGCCTGGCACATAGTAGATGCTCAACAAATATTTATAAAGGAATGATTGTCCAAATTACTTTCTAGAAAGATTGTGCCCATTATACTCCCTAAGTAGTATATTGAAATGCTTATTTCAACATATCTTTACAGCATTGAATGTTGTTTTTAAAAATATTTCATTGGTAAAATTGTTTTTTCTTTTAAATACATTTTGATGATTACTAGTAAAGAAAAGCTTTCATGTATTTTTAGCTGTAGATTTCTCTTTGATGAATTGTTTCTTCGTATTTCATAAGCTATTTTTGAATTATGTGTAACTATGGGCCTAGATACATTAGCAGTATAGTAGGTTCATGAAAATAACTTATTTTTCCTTCCTTAGGTTATTATAGTGACCACATCACCAAGTTCAACCTTCGTGCCCAACATTCTCTCCAAATCCCATAACTATGCAGCAGTCACTAAGCTTGTACCGACATCAGTCATTGCTTCCACAACCCAGAAGCCACCAGTGGTTATAACTGCTTCACAGTCCTCCCTGGTCAGTAGTAGCAGCAGTGGCAGCAGCAGTTCTACACCATCACCTATTCCTAGTACAGTTGCAGTAACAGCTGTGGTTTCTTCCACGCCATCAGTGGTCATGTCAACAGTAGCACAAGGTGAGTGGTGATCCACCATGTAATTCTGTCCCTGTGGTATATATGGGAATTTTGAAGAAAACCGTGTGAGTGTATTTTTCTGCTTTGGGTATGAAGGTCCCTGCTTTTATATCAGAAATTTACCACTCCTCTTCCCTTAGTTTGAGAATGTCAAGATAGTTGCTTACTATTTTCTTTTAGTAACATGCTTACTCCAAGATATTTTTATTCACATGCATAGTACCTAGTCACCTAGGCAATTAACATTCACAAAATGTAGGTTAACTCTGTCACAACAGATTTCAAAGGCATAAAAAGCAAATATCTTGAATAGAATGAAGGTTTTATTTGTTATTTATTTTAAAAGAGTTTTGTTATTTTTTGAGTAATGTCTACAACCAACGTGGGGCTTAGACTTAGAGCCCTGAGATCAAGAGTCATATGCTGTACTGTACATTAGGTGCCTCTAATGAAATTTTTAAAAGAAGAACTTGAAATTGCAATATTGACCTTTGAGTACCGTAGGGGTTAGAGGCACAGTTATGTACTGTATTACAGCGGAGTAAGCTAGAGAACAGAAAATGTTATTCAGAAAATCGTAAGGAAAAGAAAATACATTTGTCATATTATATTGTATTTATCGAAAAAAATCTATGTGTATATGGACCCAATGCGGTTCAAACCTCTGTTGTTTAAGTCAACCATATTTTACTCAAGGTTTTTCAGAGGAACATTACGAGTAAGTTACCCAGTGATAAGAAGCAGGAGGAAGAGGATGATTTCAGGGACATGGCATTCACCTTTTCTCCAGTCTCCTAAATTTTTCTCTATTGGTGGATGATGGGAGATATTAAGGGGAACAAAGACTGAACTGAAGGACCATTGCTGCTTAATAATAGCAGAGGAAAGGAAATGTAGAAATCTCAATTCCATGTTAGCCTAAATAAGTTTGGCTCTCTTTCATATCCTTGTATTTCTCCCTATGAAAGGCAAATAGCACACTGTCAGAAATTTTCTTCTTAGTGTTAAAGAATCTTAAAGTGGGGATGGGAGAGAAGCATGTACTGTACAGAATTCATACCCATCATCGTAATCTCTCAAGGGGAGCACAGAAGCAATACAGAATGGGACTTAGTATTCGTTTTCATTAAGTTTTACTTGAACATTACGTACCTAAGATAGAGTGGGACTTGGAAATATCCTAGTTTATGAACTAGTAGTGAATATAAGCACTAGAATAGGAAAAACACAAGTATTTTTCATAATTATTTTAGTAATGTTTAGTGTGTTCTGTATAACTGTGTAGGCAAGGAAGAGGCTATACTGTAGATGCGATGCAGTCAGTATTCTTTACAGCCCTAATGCTAGGATATGAAATTATCTGTCATTGTTTCCTGGCTCTAACACCTATTTAATGTCTCCATCAACAATAGGAAAATAGCAGGCTTGAAGTTTTCTTTTGTTACTTTAAGTAATTAAAAAAATTCCAACCTCTCTATTTGCACAGCAGTAAACTATAATACAGCATTATTAAAAATAGAAAGAATTTTTATACAGAAAATTTATTGAAAATGTTGGTTGCACACATGATCCAAATTCATTATTTTAAAATTTGAAGATGAGAGAAGGAAAGGCCACCTGTCTCTGCACCTGGGTGACACCTGTGTCAAAACTGTCATCCAGTGATAAACATTTTTCTCTTCCAGTACTCATCACACAGTTTGCTGAAGTTTTATTGTACTGTTAGAAATATTACTGTTCTTCAAAGGAACATGTTATTTTTTTAAATAAAAGGGGTATTTCTCTTGGCTACTAATAAAATGTCTTTAGGCAAAATGAATATTCCATGCTTCTGTTTTTCACTCTGTTTTTTCAGGTATCCTCTGAAACTCTTGGGAATTTTGGACTTCCTGTTTTCTCTTTTGCTTCTTAGCATCCTATATCTTTTTGAGCTTCAAGTAGTCATAGGGGAGCTGGACAGGGCTTCTCAGAGATTTCTTGGAAATTCACTGAAATTCAGTAGATAATGAGAGCTATAAAAGTAAACTATGTGAATGTAGATACTCAAGGATGTAGATAATCATATAGTTACATGATTCTTTTGAGCCTTTGAGATATTTAACTTACTTATTAGTGCTAAAAAGTTGTCATTTTCTTTTAAAAAAGATAAATGTTAGTGGAAGTGGTAATATACAGACTGGAGTTGTCATTCAAACTATAGGGCTTCTGTAGGGCTTCTGTAGCAGCTTCTCTGTGTGTACCTGGGAAACAAGGGCATTCAGTGTCTGCTTCTGTTGGAGACTGGAGACAGGAGACAGGCTGTTTTAGAGTTGATGTATCTGTCTCTGGTTATTCTTGTAGAGGCAGCTGGTGGTGGAGTGGGTAAGAGTTTTAGTAGCAGTAACTTGGTGGGTGATTCCATGTTTATAAGTATAGAGGTGGTTCCAAAGGTAGGGAGTAGGGGGGTTGTGTATGATTAGATTATGCTCTGGGAAGGAAAAGGAACTCTTTAATATTTATAATATGGGAATTCTGAAAATTCTTCTGATTAGAATGGTTATTTTGATTTTGTTATCTAGAAGAAAGGAAGATTTAAAACATTTTTTATTATGGAAAATTCCAATCATATTGAAGTAGAGAGACTAGTAAAATGAACCTGCATGTGCCCATTGCCCAGCTTCAGAGATGGGCAGAATATGGTCAGTCTTGTTTCACCTGAATCCACTGTTTTTCTTCATACACCCTTGACCCGGAATGTTTGGAAGCAGATCCCAGATATTACATAAATTCAGCTATAAATTCTACTGATGTATCCCTAAAAAAAGATCACAACTCACAGTGCTACTGTCACCTAGAATTTTTAACAGTTATTTCTTGATATAATAAAATATTCAATTCCTCTCCTAATTTTCTTGATTATGTCATAAAAAATTTTTTAAGTTCATTTATTCATTTTGAGAGAGACAGAGAAAGAAAGACAGAAGACAGACAGCATGAGCAGGGGAGGGGCAGAGAGAAAGGGAGACAGAGAATCCCAAGCAGGCTCTGTACTGTCAGCACAGAGCCCGATACAGGACTCGAACTCATGAACTGTGAGATCGTGACCTCAGCCGAAATCAAGAGTTGGATGCTTAACCAACTGAGCCACCCAAGCGCACCCCCCTCCCCAAATTTTAATTGGGATCCAAACAGGGTCCACATATTGATTGATATGGTTATGTCTTTTTTAACTTAATAAGTCTCTCTTTTTTTTTTTCCTTTGCAATTCATTTGTTGAAGAAATCGGTCATTTTTCCTGAGAGTTTCCCATAGTCTGGATTTTGCTGATGTTTATCCCCATGATATGGTTCAAAAAGTTTTCCTGTTCCATGTATTTCTATAAAACTAGTAGTTAATCCAGAAGCTTGATCAGATTTAAGTCTGATTGTTTTTGGAGATGGGGGATTAAACATTTTATAAGCGGTATCGTGTACTTCCTGTTGTATCCCTTTAGGAGGCACGTAATGTCTGATTTCTTTCTTTAACGATATTAACATTGATCAGTAGGTATAAATATTACCAACTGTTTATTAAAACAGCTATTGATAGTCTTTGCCTCAGTCATTATTTTATTGGTATTTGCAAAATGTATTTTATCTTTATTTTCTTCATTTATTAGGTGGAATTCTTAAAGAAGAACTTTGCCTTATTACCATTGGTTACTCTGAGTATAGTTCATATAGGAAAAGCAGGATAAATGCCTGAGTATTTCCTTCTGTTTTTTGTTTTCAGATGAGTAGGTTCAGTGATCAGTGAAATTTTTTTTCTCCATGTTAAGATTTTTCATGTCTATTAATCTATTACAGATATTCTTTTTTTTTTTTTTTTTTTAAATTTTTTTTTCAACGTTTATTTATTTTTGGGACAGAGAGAGACAGAGCATGAACGGGGGAGGGTCAGAGAGAGGGAAACACAGAATCGGAAACAGGCTCCAGGTTCCGAGCCATCAGCCCAGAGCCTGACGCGGGGCTCGAACTCACGGACCGCGAGATCGTGACCTGGCTGAAGTCGGACGCTTAACCGACTGCGCCACCCAGGCGCCCCCAGATATTCTTTTTTTTTAATACTTATTTATTTTTGAGAGAGAGTGAGCATAAGCAAGGGAGGGGCAGAGAGAGAGGGAGACAGAGAATCCAAAGCAAGCTTCTTACTGTCAGCACAAAGCCCAACATGGGGCTCAAACCCACGAACCACAAGATCATGACCTTACCGAAGTCAGATGCTCCACCGACTGAGCCACTCAGGCACCTCAGTTGCAGATATTAAATTTTGGTGCTCAAATTGTCCCATCATTACAGTGGGAATTTCTTCACGTTGGTTCCTAAATTCTTTTGACACAACCACAGTAGTCCTTAATAGCCCTTATTTTGTGATATGACAAGATTTTCTGGGTTCATCTTCTACATTTTCTGCCTCAGATTTGGAATTACACATTTTTTGAGGCGCCCTCGTTTCTTAGTGAGAAATGGTGTTTAGATACCATAGTCTGGGCACCATGGGGATGATCATTGCTACTGGATTGGTCATTATTTCTAAATCTTTTCTGTGGACAGAACTAGAGTCCTTTTTTTAAGGAGGAAATACATCATCAGTTTATACTGATATTATCAATTCCAATTTAGAATTAAGGATTTTTAACTTCTTTGTTTTTGTTTGTATAATTGTATCTTTTTTCTCCTTTTACTGAAAATCCTGGTTTCTGACAGTAAAGTTATATATTTGATTTATCCTGTAATATATAATAGTTTCAGAATAACAAAGTCAATATGACTAACAATACAATCATTGAACAGAATTTAAGATTATTATGGTTCTTTTGGTTCTTAGGATATCCTCACTAAGGATATATAGTCAAATTAGTATATTTTAAAGTCACTTGAAATGACTTTTTTCCTTATACTTAACCTCTAATTTAATATATGGTTAGGTTAATTTGTTTCATTTTGTTTTGTTTTTACTGATTGCAATTTAAAATATTTTTC